TGCCTTTTTATCTTAAGGCATCTGCGTGATTCTAAGGTGGTCCTTACGAAATTGGGACACTAAACCATACCTTGGGCTTTCGTCACATTCATTCCAGACTCTTAATTGCGAAGATTTAATTTCCTAGTCTTAATAAATGGCGTTACAGTTCGTCGGACGTTTAACGATGATTGAAACTGACTTGTTAATGTGTCTGCTCGAGTATTTAGCTGCGTGATCGATGCGATTTTAAAGTGACCACATATGGCCGCTTTTGGCAAGCGCGCGGCGTACTGCTGTTTCTAAATCATCTTTGACTGGCGTCTTCCACGTAAACATACATAAAATACTCACGATTAGATGACTATAGGAAGTAAGCATCGATTTCTGTTGGCTGTGCTGATCCAATATTGAATTTATCGGTTAGTTAAAGTGCAACGAATCCTATGATTTGCGCGAAATAGCAGCACCTGATGTAATAACGATTTTTCTCACAGCATTGAAGTTTGTATTGGAAACACCAGGTTTATTATTGTTTTTTATTCAGTGGATATCATGAGAATATTAAATTAAAACAAAAGTGTTTTATATGAGGTCGGTATGAGCTATTGTATCATAGTGATCTTCACAAAACAAAATCATGCGTATGTAGGTATAATGTTAGAGTTCTACAGTCAACATATTATGTTATTGAAGTCTTTTTAAAAGCAATCGAGTAAAAACCCTTATTCACCCGCGGCACAGGTATTCTACCTGCCCTAGGAGCTTCAAAATATGAATAAAATGCGTGTTGTAAAGTTGGTGTGTCTTAATGTTAACCTAGTAAATGTTCGATTGTTACTTTCGCGGTTCGGCTATCAGTACAACTATAGTCAGACCCCACTCCTTGTTCAACGTTCCGGTACCTGGTTCTTGTTTGATATGGCTTCTACGAATCTGACGTCCATTTTGAATTTTCCTGAGAATTTTATTCTTGACCATCAAATTGTTTTTTGTTACTAAAACCACTAGTAGGTAAATAAAATACTTATTTGCTTAGATCTGCCTAATTTGAATAGGGTCTTAAAATGTGATTCACAGCACATCTGTGATTATAAAAAAGGCAATTGATGCTGGCTGCTCTGACACACGGAGCATAGCGCAGACGTCATCCTTTTTTATTTGTTTTTTTTTGTTACACACGCAATGAATCAGTATGCAAAGCGTAGTAAAACTATTTGCTAACGCCAGTGTTTTCATAATTCGTTGCGATAAATTGATTTCATTTACGTGATAGTTCTTATCTTGATCAAATACTACTTCAATGTTCGGTTTGTTTCGTTTATGTTCGTTCTGTATGGTGTGAAATAGTAAAGCCTTTGAACGAAGGGTTTAATTATCGGTTTCGGTTCAAACCACAATAGCCTCGGACTAATAAATGCTAAGTAAACTGTTCCCATTTTGTTAATGATATTCTTTTTTTTTGTTATTTTGCTCCGAGTTTCTTGTTTTACAAATGGGCTTTGGTACTTAGAGATTAGTATTACGTTTTATTTTATTGAGTTTGGTTTTTTTACGAACCATTTATGTAGAACAACCTGATTTCTTATGTATGTACAAGGGTGTAACACCAATTGCATGTCGTTAAAGATAAACATAACTTGTAAAATACCACTAAGTTATTGAAGACGAATTCGGAATTCCCTCATAGAGTAGTTCTGAAGTCTATAATGCTTGGAAGATAAAAAACAAAGGACAAGGTTTCCGATCGGAAATACACACCCCATGACGTGTACAGTAAGTGGTCAACCTCTTGATGGCAATTCACAAGTGTGAGAATGAGAAGTGACATCATAACTGACAGCTAATATCACTTACAGATAACTGTTCAGCTTAAGATAGCATTCACAGAAATAGATAGTAGTTAAGCAAAGAGTTTCTGATCCTTTGTTTTGGCGGCACCAAGAAGTAAACACGTCATTCTTAAATTACAGTGGGCAACTCAAGCGCCGTCTGATTCATGATTTGATTAAAAAAAATGTTCTAGAACGTGCAGCTGCAGCGAACTCTTAATAATCCAAAAAGTTTCCTCTAATCCATTAATTCACGAACAAGTTATTTGTATAATAAACAACGCTGCTCCGGAAGACTGCGGTGAAGGAGAGAATGAATGCGTATTTTTTAACCTATAGTCGTAGGTACTAGGTTTTCTACTAAATTTTACTCTGGGTTATTCTCAAAAACTGTGCATTTTTTGGAGAAACAGATGTTTTAACAGCCTACACAGTAAATATCAAGTTTCTTGGACTGAATGAAAGAAAAGATCTGACCGACACACCTTCACAATAATAGGAGATTATACCTTTCCGTTCGTATCTCAAGTGGTATATTGTACTCTCTTTGTTACATGTCGTTGACCATAAACACAGTTTCATTCATGGCGGCTGCCCTGACACGGTTATCTGAAAATAAAGTTTCCAACAGTTTTGCAGTAAGAATTTAAAATGTTATACGATAGATTTGTAGTGTTTCTGCACTGATGTATGGAGCATGCGTATGCGCAGGTGAAATTAAACAGTTTTAGAACTAGAACGAGTTTGTATTCCTAGGTTATTAATCCCGCAAGTAGACAGATGCTGGACTAGTAATGTTTAAGTCTTTCGTAATTTACTCAATGTTATTACTGTAATGACTTCAGATCTATTAACTATTTTAATTTTGTTTGAACGAAAGTGTACTTTATGGTGAAAGGACACTTGGTATTTAATTAATATCAAACAGTAACGATGCTAACTGTTCTGTTTTACTTTCGAAATAAAATATGTTTAAGTAAAAACAATAAAATATTGAGCATCTAAACAAAAATAGAAAATTGTGGTAAATATCGTATTTCTTTACATTCTATATCAGTGAAAAAGCGTTTATTATTTACCCTCATAAATATCTAGTAATGTAAAACAAGCAATTTTCCTCTGTCTGAAGTAGCCAGGTAACTGGGCGTACCTAGACATAATTTTCGCTCGAAATTCGAGTTTGCGCACTTAAAAATACCCAGTATTCAAACATTGTGTGGACTTACATGAATATTACATTACATTGAGATTTATAAAGCTCTTTTTTCGTCTGGAAACCTTTTTTAGGATCCATGTCCAAAAGGGATAGCGGTTTCGTCTATTTTAGTATTAATTTTACGCTGTCTGCCTTCACCCTTCGTTGATTAAACTCAGAATATACCTAATAACCTTTACGACAAAGAAAAAATGAAGCTATTGGTAGAAAATTTACTATAAGTCCAATAGGCACTTGATGTTATTGGAATTCTATATTAAAGGGTAGGTTTCAGCAAAATTTAACTCAGACAAAAAATTTGAACACGTACTCGTGAGTCCTGTAGTTGTGGGAGTCCTAGTATAGCCTAGTACCGCTTCTATTTTATTTAAAAATGGGAGGCTTTCATACTTGAATGTGTAATAACTTAACTGGTAAACTGATATCATTCAAAGTTTAAACCGTTTTTCCGCTTCGTCTGCCAACAGTTTTTTTTGCGAAGTCCACACATAAATTGTATTGAACTGATGTACACGGTACGCATTCTTGCGCCGCAATGCGGCCAGATGCGGCACGGCTATGCGCTTAGCTTTACAGAAATTTTATTAATGTATATACTAGTGTGTGGTCACTGCGACGCTTGAAGTAGGTCTCTATTTCGTATGACACTAATGTATTCGTCATACGACATACAAACATGAGAACGAAATGATTGAATCGTTTTTGCGACTACCACCCAGCACTTAATCACAGACACACGTACATAATTCTGTGCAATTATAGGCTCTGCTTTTTATCCAACCACCGCTGCCTTACGTCATATGCATTCTTTGTACGACATAAATACTTAGTTCCGGGAAACACGAACTCTGAATAGAATATTGTACTTAATTTATATTGCATAATACTAGATGCTCGTACGGTCTCCTTTCTCTCACCCGCTATTACCGTGAAGGTGAATTCAATCGATAATGGGCAAAACAATTAAACTAAAAACGGAAAATCGCAATTCTTTTGTGGCGTGCGTGAATTGAATTTTTATTGTACCTAGGTAATCTAGTTTTTGACGAGTGACGCCTTACTTTTGGTGCTGATGCAAAAAGTAAGCCGTTACCTATTTTTATATTCTTTGAACTTTATAAATTGTTGAGTCTATCGAGCTAGTCGTTTTTGTTGAATTCTAGAAAAACCTAAATATTTAATCATGACTGGCAGTGCTGTTTTGATACAGTTTGTGTAGTCATTGAAAATTTAATCTGTTAGTTCAAGTCTTGTTAGTAACATCCAAATGAAATTAGTAATGAATATATGAATGACGAACAAAAACTACTCTCTAAACTTTACTTCTTTGTTGTGAAATTTTCAGCACAAAAGCATGAATGTAAGAAATCATTTGCCTCATTTAGGACCTAGCCTTATTAAGCTACATTGTAATTAAATAGTTTCGGTAAATTCCGCAGTAATCGTGTCGCTTGTTCATTGTATACGTTTATATTTAACGCAGATTGTGACGTGACATACCGACTATGACCCACCTGTTAACTAAATACCGTTATTATATGTATATGTACTTACTTATTTACCTTAAAATTTAAACGTATAGCTCTATTGGCAAACAGATTTATTTATTTTGTACTATGCCAGGCTTCCTGTGTGCTGTTCCTAGCGAAAATAGGTCACTTGCTTTGGATATTGTATGAGGCGATATGAGGCGACTGAATTGATGTCGGATGAGCAGTGTCTATGCTCACTCTAAGTAGAGACTCTATTGAATCATAACGACGATTAATTTCTTGTTTTTATGCCCATTAATAATAGTGTTAATCGATTAAGCACTATAAATATATGCTTCCTACAATTTACATTCGAAACTCAGCGTCATACATGATTCTTTGTAAAAAAACAACAGGAAAATACCAAGAAACTAGACTTAAGGAAAATCTTCTATCTAAGAACTAGTCAAATGTATAAACCGATGTTTTTATCAATTCCAGAGTGACTCGGTGAGCTATTTCTTCGATGAACTGGAGCGCATTGCGAGACCTGACTACATCCCCTCCCACCAAGACATCCTGCACTGTCGGAAGGCCACGAAGGGCATCACGGAATGTACAATCAACATCAACAACGTGCCATTTGTATTTGTCGACGTGGGAGGGCAGCGGACACAGCGGCAGAAATGGACGCAATGCTTCGATTCCGTCACGTCCATACTCTTCCTCGTCTCCTCTTCAGAGTTCGACCAGGTCTTGTCGGAAGACAGGTAATTTATTGTTTCATTGCGTTTATTTACGACACCGACCTTTCATTCGACTACATCTATTCTTAACCAATCAAGTCGTTTAAATGATAGTCATTTAATTACAGCGAATAAATCATTCAATTTTGAATAATTACTGCAGTACGTTCCTTCTTACCAAGATTAATGAAAACATTAATTTATTCGCGTTCAAAAATGAATATTCATTAAAGAAGTAATCAACTGGTAAAATGCGAAAGCTGATTACTTAGTGGAGTGTCGTTATAAAGAATTTAATATACAAATAGTACAGGCTCCGCCCACGCTGTCGGATCATAAAGCAGTCATACCGCACATTACATAAACACATATTCTAAAATAATTATCGTGTAAGCGAAGTGAGGGGGTGTGCAAAACAACAAAAAAAATACTGAACTATTTTCTATACGAGCGAAAGCTATTAGTTACGGACGTCATTCAAGCAGACCGCTCGCTAGATGAATGAAGTTTTCCTGAAGCGAAAATTCTTTACTCTTTTTAAATCTCCACGTGACAGTTGATTCATAACACCTGGATTAATGGTTGTACCAAACACGGGAGTGACTTATCTATAGACTACGATATGAGTACCTGTAATACGCAGTGTCGTAATTTAGTTGCATATTCGACAAAACGTTGTCTATCTAAAAGTAAATAAATATAGTGTTACGTCACTCGTTGCGAGTTAACGATGAATCATGGTACAATCAACGGGTGATCGTTGTGACGAGAAAATCACATTTATGACTACATCCATCCATATTACACATAGTTTTACTAACCGCGAAATTGTTTTTGTTTGTTTTCTTAAAGAATAACGTCATTCATATACTGTTATTACTCCTTATTTCTCTCAAAGGGATATTGTTCAGATTGACGTAACTTTTCCATCTATTTTTCGTATGATAAGTGCTATATTACGCATGTTTTTGAAAAAACGACGCTGTTATCAATCTAGAATTCTAGAGCGAACGTTACGCGGACTGGTATCAGCTCTGTGGAACAACTTTTCTGCCTGGCTAATGACAAGGACTAATTCAAAAAGTTGACTGCCAACCTTCAGGAATGAAGTGCCACCATATGAAGAAGAAAAAGAAGAGCTTACGTTGCCTTTATAGATTGAAAATCACTACATAGTATAAAACAAAGTCGCTATCCGCCGTCTGTCTGTCCCTATGTATGCTTAGATCTTTAAAACTACGCAACAGATTATGATGCAGTTTTTTAAATAGATAGTGATTCTTAAGGAATGTTTATATGTATAATACATGCATATTGCCTCCGTGCGAAGCCGGGGCGGGTCGCTAGTAAATAATAGATTAAAGAGACAGTTAATATTTTTTTATATAACCAATTATACCTTTCTATAAAAGAACGTTTATTTTTCCCCTGTCAACCGCAAACACGATGGCAAATACAATCACCGCATTAATCATGGTATAATGACCTGTCATTGCCCACCATTGCGATACTTCGAACCTTTACTTAAATAACTTTATTAACATTAAAACGTTAATGACGATTTGCTCTTATCTCTTGTGGGAAAATGTATGAACAAACATCTCTTGAATGTATATATATGTAAATGAGATTCGTATCACAATACAAACATGTTTAGATGAAAGTTTTTTTTTTGCCGAGTCAGAATGAACTTGTGAATAATAGAGGTATATATATATTTTTATGCGATAAGCCGGTAAACGAGCAGACGGATCACCTGATGGTAAGCAATCGGTGTCGCCCATGGACACCTTAGAACACCAGAGGCGTTACAAGTGCGTTACCGGCATTTTGGGGATTAGGAGTTTGAAGATCGTTGGGGATTCAGGGATTGGGGAGATTGGGGAGGGGGGAGTAATATGTGGAAATAGTAGTCTTAATTTAATCCTACCTTTAAAGATATAAATGCGGATAATATTATTGACTTGTTGAAGCTTTCCATGTGTAGAATATTGATTAAGGTCATAAAATATTGATTTGATAGTTGAGAAATAATATTAAACGAGCGAAATCATAGCTAAACGCTTATATGTTCAAATTAAAATTCACTACAGGGTGATCCAATGTGGAATCCGAATTTCCTTTGTCGATAAGGAACTTGTCAATTGTATAGTAAAAACCAATTGTACGGGTATCTCCTTCGACCCAGTGACTCATTGGTCATCGATGTCACAAACCAATATACGGATGTTTGATTTGTGGTGTCAGTGTGCTTGACCTTACCTCGAAATTTACTTAATGTAGTAACAATGCACTGACTAAGAGACCACTTTTTAAAGGGGGATCTTTTAAACCGGTCTTTTAAGGGTACGTTCGATAAAAGAGAGGTTTGATTAAATTATATGCTCAATTTAAGAATGTATACCTTACCTTGCTCTCGATTGTACTACGGTAGTAGGGTAGATTCCTAATTTTTATTTTAATGTCCGTCTGGTAGATTTATAAACATTAGACACGTATTTTTTATTTTCTTACAGAAACGAATACTTTCGACGATATATTGATTTCAAATGTCGCCTGACGTCATTTCTATGTACATTTTATACGTAGAAATGACGTTTTAGCCCCCACTCCTAAACTTTGATTAATTTTATCTAAGTATTATTTTATTATAGGACAAAATAAAAAAAATACTTGTTTAATATTTTTTCATTACGTAACTTACGGACTAATCAGATTTTTAATTTTCATACCCCGTCATCATCCCTGTTCTACACCATAACCAGCGGATAGTCTTCAATAATTTTTATGAATGAAGTTCAATTGAGAAACAGCTCCATATGTTGCCTACAATAGAGTCTTATTGTACTAACAATAGGGTTGATATTCAAATGAAAAAATGTCTCAATTTTCGCCATTATAGTTTAGTGAAAGTTATAGTATTCATATTTTTCGCGTCACTTAGTTGCGGTGTTTGATCACAATACACGGTGCCTGAAAACATGACATTTAAATTTTGTTGACCCGAATCTTGTTGCGTGTTTTCCGTAGCCCACTTCGGCCTACCGAAGGTACAACGGAATAATGTTCAGTTCATCGATTGAGGTTTTAAGTAGGTAGTAAATCAACCTCAGTCTGAGTCTGGGTAGTCAAAGTAGGTTTCTTAAATAAACGTGTTTGTAGAATGTCGGATGTCGGCTATTATTTTATGTTTGTATTGTATTGTGAACATGATTGAAAATGAGTAACCTATGGAGTTTCTTGCTCGTTCTTCTCCATAGGAGGATCTACACTTTGGAACGAGCAAATAGCTTCACTAGAGGACTGACCTACAGACTGTCATTTTTTCTTATTATTTAATATTTAAATGTTTTGTTTTTGACGTTCAAAAGTGCCTTCCTGGTCTAATTGAAATAAATGATTTTGAATTTGACTTTGGTTAAAGTCTCGTTCTAGATTAAAATTTAAATGTTATGATAAATATTTTTTTAGGCACTTAGTTCGGAATTTGACTACGTTGGGATCCCAACAAATTGAATGAGAAGTGAATATTTGTTTTTCAAATAAACACATTTCTATCACGACCTTTAGCATATAAACACGGTAATAAAATAATCCTGTACAATTTGTTTTTGATCGAACAAACATCCCTATTCAATGAACCATGTTCGTAAACATATTTTTGCCTTTCATTCAAAGCTAATTTATTTAGTGAATTCATTACACATCGGTATGAAATTACCGGCGTAATGTGACTACTAAAAATACATTAATTTTATTTCTGTTCTACATATTGGTAACGTTCACATCGTAAAACCATTTTGATGCCAATAAAATGTATAATTATGATTTTATATAAGACAAATATGTGTTTCTAGTATTGCTACACGTGTCTGCGTTATATGCGTGTTTATTTACACTAAATTATTATTCTTCGTTCAGAAAATAAGACGTGAACCTAACGTAGAAGAAAGAAAGAACATTTCAGTGACACCGCTACCTTTTTAGATAAATTAATTTGTTAACATTAATCAAACATTCAACCTCTCACTTCTATAGACAAACCACAGAGGGTAATCAAACGAAAAGTTTAATTTATTATTCTATTTCGAAATGAAAAGGTACCCGAGGGATTAGAAACTCAATTTCAACATTAGAACGAGTGAACCACAGCCGCAAACTAGTTATGTGAATAAAGTTTTTATGGCGGCCCTAAACTATTTGCCTAACATATCTATGGTTCGCCCAGACGTATTCCTTTGATGTTGTTTGTTACATTTTTGCGTTACGCCGTATACGTATTTCGGAATGGTGAATGGAATGGAATTAGGTCGTTTTTTCAGCTTAAATATACACTTTTTTGGACTGATGTATTTGCACATGTGTTCAGATGATCGGTTTATTTGGTTTATAGATGTCTGACGACTTTATGCGACAAAGTCACACTGAGACGACTAGTATTTGTTATAGGAAAATTCTTTATATTCTAGCTCTTGAAGTTGGCTCCTGTGCCTTTAGCCGACCGCCACTCTAGCGCTTGTCTACAGAGAGAGTAGAAATCAAAATGTATGGGGATTGCACTGACAAGTGTCAAAATTTACGTCAATTTCATATATTTTAGTTTTCTAATCTACAAGTAGACAAGCGCTAAATGGCATTTGGCTACAGCTGCAGGAAAGCTAAAGTTAAATCAAAATAATCAGCTAGATATAGCTAATCGCTCCATTGATTCCCCGTAGCTTAGCAGTATATCATTCGACATCCGGCTGACCAAATCAAGGTCGCGATAATGTAGTACATTGTCATTGAGATCATGTAATTATGTGCATTAATACTAAGGGACACTATTTAATATTTATCATATACTCCTGCACAGTTAACTCATGCCAAGAATCTGCTTTAATTTTTCCTCCGACGATTTCATTATAAGTGTGATTGTCAAGGTTAATTGAGATGTTTGTTTGTTGGTCTGATATAATATATTAATTCAATTATCATAGTTTTAAATGTCACTGTCTTAGATTTTAATAAAATAATGCTAGAGGTGTGAAGTATCTTGTTACAAATCAAGAAGTGTAGTTTTTAAAATTTGTATTTGTAAATTGACATTTGATTTAAGATGATCATATTACTGGCGATTAAAATAGGTCCAGAACGCAACAAGACTAATGTTATACTGTTCTCTGATTCCAGGAAAACGAACCGCCTAGAAGAGGCGCTAAATATCTTCGACACGATCGTGAACAACATAAACTTTAAAGGCATCTCCATCATCTTGTTCCTGAACAAGTCGGACCTGCTGGCGCGGAAGGTGGCCAGCAAGGAGACGGACATCCGCTGGTTCTACCCGCAGTTCGCGGGCGACCCGCACAACCTGCGCGACGTGCAGATGTTCCTGCTCAACATGTTCGCCAACGTCCGCCGCGAGCCCAAGACGACGCTGTACCACCACTTCACCACCGCCATCGACACGCACAACATCGAGGTCGTCTTCAACTCCGTCAAGGACACGATCCTCAATCGGAACCTAGAATCGCTCATGCTGCAGTAACGGACCAAACAAACTGTAACAACGGAATTGTTAAATTGTGATATCTGGCAATATTCTGATTTCGTGATTCCACTTCGCGACTTTTTTCCATTATTGTGTTTTGTTTCTATACTTTGCTAAACAGCATAATAGTGTAAAGCACATTTGAAAAGACAAAGAATGTGATGTTGATGGCCTAACGGTCTGTTAGAGCGGCTCTGTATAAATGTAATATGACATGTATTTATTTACCAAACGTATGGGATTTGGTAAAACTATGTACCTTAGTGTAACGTATTGTAATTATAAAATTTGTATATCAGTATATTTATGACCAAAAATGTAGATTTTGCACGTGATGGACATTATTATGATCACTTCGAGATATGAACACGCGCGTCACGTCAGATGGACGCGCCGTAGTGCAGTATCGTAACACGCAACACGTAAGTGCGCAATATTGTAAACGTAGTGAATTAGATAAAGTGCGGTAAGCCAGGGGGATTTTTGAACTTTTGCCGTTTTCTATAACGTTTTCTTGATGACTGTAGATTCTTTTATACTGATTACACTTTAAACCAGCTTGCGGTTGTACTAGTGGTGGGATCGACATCTTGGTTGGAGTACATTAGAATAAAATGCCATGTAACCCCTATTTATGCAGTAAGTACACAAGTATATCAAAATTCCCCGTGTTGTATCACAGCTTGACGCCACAGTTGCTCCAATGAAGCGGTCAGTCCTGTCCCCGTCGCAAGCAGTAGTCTCTCAATGTATCAGTGCCAAGTCGTAGCACGAGTGGGTGGGTGCAGTGCCGGCTGCCGCTATATCATATAGATGTAGTTACAATGAGATTGCTCTTATAGGGTGCCACGAAGCAAAGGAACACCTTTGCGTTGGGAAGACTTTATATAAATCCCTCCCGGGAGTAAAAATGTATATAAATAACCATTGTTAGAGAAATCGTTTATAATCTGTGATTAAAAGTGTAAAAAGTATTAGGCTGTAAACAGCAACGAAATGTAATGTGTCTCTTGCAGAAGAAAATGCTTTTTGACGTTTGACACGGTTGACATATGACGCTCAAATTTTTTAATTCATTACGCTGATGTTGGTATCTTTTGAGTCGGGTGTTCTCATCGAGTATTCCGTCCCTTGGCACAATTTAATGCAAAGACGTGTAATCTCACTATAGCTTCTACGTATTTTTAATTATAAAAATTTTGTACAATATACAAGATATATTTTAAAGGCGGGCACAAAGGTGTACAACCTTTTTGATAATTTTAACGTGAATTTAATCTGCACTTGCTTTTGTACGTGAGAGGGAATGATCTGATTTTAATTATTATTTAAGTACAACGCATAATTTTCGATCATAATAATTATACTCATTTAGTTTTAAGTGTCATAAGCTTTAGCATATTTATTTTGAGATCGTCTACAACTATTGTTTATTTACGTGAGAGTTTTAGATAGAAGTTATCTATTTATTATGTGTACATTTTTATGGATGGTTTACTGAGGCTAAATGTGTAAATACCTCTTAACTTTATTATGTATATCGTTTCTTAGTAGTTTTAGTTTTTAAAATTTCGTTTAATATAATGGTCTGATCGGTTAGAAATGAATTGCGGATTTTATTTCCAATATCAGTGATAAATTTGCATTTAGTAGTGCCATTGTGTGGTGCAAACAGTGTTGCCACTGGAAATAAAAACAAGCCTAACAATATACTGTCAACACTGCCGCGTAAAAAGTCGTTTGAAATTAAATATCTGATTAATAATGGAATATTATTGTAATTCACAGTTATTTTATTAGAATCAATAGTTTGACAGTTTTTGACAATTTAGACGTTTATGAAGTAACTTGCGTTGATGCCAAAGTTTGACTAACATCTGATGACGCGACGGAATGATATATAATGTGTATACAATTGTTGGGTGCTCAGTATTTGTATCTGATAGCATGCTCAGTAAGGCCTGGCTTCTGAGGTATTGTACACTCTCGAATACATTAATATAAGTAAATACGACGATGTTTTAATTTCTCTATATCATTTCAAAATGTTATAAACTAATTTCAAGTTCAAAATGAATAATTGTATTCTAAAATTTATTAAAATGCACCTATTATAGCTAAAAATTTTAATTTATAACTTAAATTTTAATTTGAAGTACAATAAATATAATTAACGAGCAAACGAAGAAGTCTTCAGTTTTTACGTCAGTTACGCATCTCGATAATTTTATTATTGCTAAAAGATTATGGTTCTAGGAGCGTATAGAAGCGACTTGCATCCATTACCATCTCATATATTGACTTCTCTATTAAACTAGTCTTTATGCAATTTGATTTGTTATTGTTAAAACTGACACAGATTGCCGATATCTCTAAGAAGTCAGGCCTTTAAATGGAACACTACAATCCTGATAACTAGTGCCTATGTATAAAAGCCTTCATTGCACATAGTAACGTAAATCCTTATCTTTAACGTTCAAAATCGCGTGGCACCGGTATTGGTTATCAGTAGTACTAATGTCTGTATAATTTCTTCAAGTGGTTAGACACTCTAATCGTAGTACTAAACTGTACTTTGCTTTACTTTCTTAAGAACTTAAGTTTCAAGGATTTCTCGTATCAAAATGGTTTTTCTTCTCTTTGTAACTGTATTCTTATTCTGATGACGGTCATTCTCAATAACTTATAGTAAACTAGCGACCCGCCCCGGCTTCGCACGGGTGCAATATGCATGTATTATACATACAAACCTTCCTTAAGAAACACTCTATCTATTAAAAAAAACCGCATCAAAATCCGTTGCGTAGTTTTAAAGATCTAAGCATACATACGGACATACAGCGAAAGCGACTTTGTTTTATACTATGTATTGATTTAGGAATAAACGCTAGCAGGTCAAGTTACTTCTTTCTGTCAAAGTCTTTTATTTGATTTTCAACTTTATTGTTTTCGTATAAAGTTGAAAGTACAGTAAAATTGAGGAGTACGTTGATCTGCTTGCCTTAATTGAGCTAAGAGAGATTTTGTATGGGAATTTTGCTAAGTATCTATTGGCTATGTGCACGACGGTGGCGACGCGCAGCGTTTACATTTGCGGAAGCTGTCAAATAATACAATGTAAACATTATAGTTTTCTTTGCAAATATAAATAAAACCGACAATTAAAATAGTATTGTTGACATTATTTAAGTGCAATTTATTCGATAATTATTTAATAATAGTTTTAATGTGAAATGAATATAATAATAAAAACCGGGTTTGAAACTATTACACATAATATTAGTTTCCAACCACAAACTGAGACAAAAGGCAATAAATTAGTATTAGCCGAGCATGTAAGAAATGTGGAAGAACTGCGACATAACGGCCAGAGCTACTTATTACGAGCCATGATCCATTTCTTTGCTTTGATTTTGTACTGCAATCAACATATTTGACAGCTGATCATCCTCAATTGTTTCCAATTTCTGCCGTGTTGTGCGCTGCGGTCGTTATCTGTCCGCCACAACTCGCTTTGTACATAGTCAATAGTTGCTAGGAAGGTTATTGAGAATGTTCATAGTATTTTTTTCTGTATACAATTCTGAGTGTCTAGTAAAATCACAGGTGATAGCAAAACAAACTATACTTTAATGGAGTAATGGAGTCTCAATTAAAGTTGCTTTTATACATTTTTAATCATTCTTTCCTATCTACGGGTTCATCAGGAAATAACTGCTCAAAATTATATCATTCATTGAGAAACGTGACAAAAGCTAATATTTTTTTTATATTTGATGAGCCTACGTTTTATATTTTACAATTATTGTCTAGTTAAAACCTCTGACATAGTAACGATTTCTTAAAAGAATAATATCGAATCTCCACTTAGGTATATTTATTTTGAAACTAGTTAGTGAATCTAAAAAACCTACTTTATAACAGTTTATCTTATAATATAAAGGTATAGTTTCTGCGCAATCGCTGTAACTATCTTTTACGTACTACCAATATTTGTGACCAACGACAAAGCAATATGAACTCGATCAATGAAGGTTTTTATACAGGTTAGCACATCAGTATCCTAAAAACCACTTTATACCCTAGACATAAGGATGGTTTTCACAGTGATTCTGTAATATCTTTTACGAATAACTAATATTTGTGACCATTATCGACAAAGCATTAAAAACTCAATCAATGAAAGTTTTTATACAAGAAAGCACACCAATATCCTAAATACCACTTTATGTCTTAGACATAAGGATGATTTTTAAAAGTGTAATTCTGTAATATGAAACCTTATGCAGCAAGGTACATCAGTAAGCTAAAAACCACCTTATGTTCTAGACATAAGGGTGGTTTTCACAGTGTAATTCAGTAATGTGTGAAGGCTTATACAGCACAGTATGTCAATAACCGAAAAACTACTTTATGTCCTAGACATAAGGATGGTTTTCGCAGCTATAGTGTAATTCAGTAATATGAAATGAAGGCATACACAGCACAGTACACCAGTAACCTAAATACCACTTTATGTCCTAGACATAAGGATGGTTTTCGCAGTTAATATGAACTGAGTTGGAAAGTTGTGTAGTGTGTCGAATGTGGGTCTCAAATCGGTAGCGACTAAGTCAAGGTGTGATTTATACGATGCTCTTGTTGTAACCGTTGCGTGGAATATTGTTTTGTACTGTTTTTCTAAGGTAAAATGTCTTGGATTTTAAACCTTACATTTTTGTGGTACAGTTGAAAATGTGTTAAAGACTTTTGATCTGTAAGTATCTTTATTGGATTTTTAACTCTATTGTCTTGTAATGGAGTTGAAAATGAAGTTAATGATTTTTGATAATTTATACCTTACTGGAGCAATAAATGAATTAGATTATATTTAAGTTAGGGCCTCTATATTTCTGCCTTGTGTAATGTAATTCTGAAAATGAATTTATTGAGTGATTTTTTGTATTTTAAACCCAACTGTTCTGATTTATAGTTGATTTTTGTATGAGAGTGGTTTTGTACGATTTATGAAATGGAACACATTATGTGAATTATTATAAAAAACAATTTCACACATTTTTACTGACCACTTAGACATAGTATTTAACGTTCTAGTATTTGTCAGCAATATCTGCTCAATTTTAATATAGTTTGAGCAATAATTACACATATTCTTGATGGTTAAAGCTCAATTTTAGGTTAGTAATACATCGTAGAGTTGCCATGTTAGATTGTTTTTGAATAAACTACGATTGAACGTTAAATTTTATGTCTAGCTACTGCTTTTTGTCACTAGATGACGCTGTTGTATAGCGTGATGTCTTTTTTACAATATAGATGTAGCTAGTGTGTACCATTGGACGTATAAATTATTAACAAAAGCAGACATTGGACAAATATACCTATTTTAAATATTTATGGCAGAAATACAGCGTTAATATGTAATTTATTTAAGCAATAATATTAACACCTTAAACGCCACCGGTGACCAACGTTAGCAGACCATTTGTCTTCAACAGTCTTTTATTGACAGTCAAAAGCAAACTATTCCTTAAGCCTTTGACTGCCAGCAGAAAACTGTTGAAGGCAAATCTTCCGCTAACGTAGGTCACCGGTGAGCTACGCAGCGGTTAAAGTGTTAATTATTATTATGGGTTGTTAAAAAAATGTCAGTTCTTCAGTACCAAGTTAGAAATGTGTAAAACACAATATTCCACGCAACAGCAGTATATAAGTAAGCTATGGGTGCCAATCGTTTTGCTCGAAATATCCACGTTGTAAGTATATAATAGCATTGTTAGGCCTATGGAATATTTCGGTAGTTCGAAGCCCAACGCCCGAAGCCCGAAGCCCGAAGCCGGAAGCTAAAAGAAGTGGTTGCTAAGTTAGTTGTATGTTATGAATTTTTAACCCTTTAACCGCCAAGATTCTGAACTTTCAACTTACCTCCAGCGCCACGTCACTTTAGGTATAAGTTGGAACAGTGTTGGAAACACTTAATATCGATGCATACATTCTTTAATCCTTAAAAAATTAAAATCAATGTTTTATTTACCTACTTAATAAATAATCTAAAAATTTTCAATCTTCAAACGAAGTATACGAAAATGTGTATTCGGGAAATGGGCACGGCGTCGTCCGTTCTCCTGCTGGTGACGATGCTCCACGAGCATGTCGTATTTAATTTAATATTTTCATGTAAACTTCTGAGCGGATTTCCGACAGTACGGTTTCCAGCTCAAAAGGTTTTAAAGATGCAAAGTATTCATTTCGTGGATCACTTGGTCTCTGATTAAAAACTTTGCGTCACCATCTTCTAACTTTGCATAATGGACACATTTGGTTTTGACTGTGTTGATTTATTTGAGAAATAACAAAAACCCAAAAAAGGGTTTACAACACTAGTTGCATTGAGTGATAAATGTTTAACGTAATTATACGGTGACGGCGCTAAGGCAACTCACAATACAGCGCTTTAATCTCCTTGGCCGCACGTAATATTACGATGATGGCGACCGGCGATTGTCCGCACTAGTGCGGTTCTGCGTTATGAAATTTTTATATTATTGTTATAAATATTATATAATTTTAAACTTAAATACATTTTAATTCGTACAAATACTTGCATCAAAGTAACACTATGGTTATTTTCTAATGAAAGTATACACTTTCATTGCAAATAGTGACAGTAATATCTATAGTGCCTTGTTTGTTCTTAGACAACCTATTAAGTATTTTTCGAATTCGCCCCATCCCTAGTACTCGTAAAATTACGTGATTGGCGTTACTGATAATGGAGACGGTGACCACAATTTAATTAAACCTCAAATTTCACAGTATTTATCACTCAAAACATTGAGAAATATCCATAACAATAAAGATTATACCCTACATCTTGAAATTGACACATTTTATATGGAGTTTGTGCACTATAAGAAGATTTTTAATAAAATAACGTGATTGTACGTATGTGGCGATTCGGACACAGCTTTCGAAAACCGTAATATTACGTTGTCGGCGGTTAAAGGGTTAAACATATGTTAGGAGTCGTTTTACACACATGTTAACGTATGCTAGAGTGTTGACAATATCTTTTGGAATTCCTCTATATTTTGTATACAGCCCAATATTT